AAGACATAATATATATATATATATATATACATATAAAGAGTAATTAAAGTTACGATGTACCACTGAACCCTTAACGATTTAACCCTTTTATCACCCTGCAGAAAACTCGTCGCCCGCGCTAATGGGAATCAAGTCAGCGTTATACAAAGTTTTGGATTATCCCTGGCCTGAAAGGGGAACGCGGCATGCGCTGCACACCACACGCACACTTCCCGTACATCAACTAAGAAAACCCTCAGTGCTCTCCTCAGACATACACGGAGGCAGTACTAGTATACTAGGCGGGCTAGGAAAGAATACACAAGCAAGGGTAGGCCCATCCAAGCCTAAGAGTGATGATTTCAGACAGCACGTGGTCGTGTATTCGGCATACCCTGTGAGTGGGGCACAGTTGGGAGCCTTTGTGTACGGCGAGGATTTTGCCACAGATCAGAACAACCTAGATATACTAGCAGGGGAAGATACTACTGTCTCGGATGCTGGGGTCACATCGCACGCGATGTTACGTACAGAGGCACTCGGAAAGGTGACCAGTACTGGTACTGCTACTACCACGATCGGAGGGGATGTACCTACCACAACGTCTGGTACAGATACACTGGGAAACGTGGTCAATACTACAGCGACTACTACGGCAAACAAAGTGGACAAGGCGTGTGCTGAGTTGTATGGTTCACTCAATAAGACGAGTGCGCCTATCGCCCGGTTTGAAACGCGTGGAATACGTTTGGGGATGGTAGACACGAGCTGCTTGCCCCGACAAGAGTGTGGTACTGAGGGGAGGTCGGATACCGCACACTGCTCAGAGGTGGCTGGCAACGCACAGGCGCAAGGGGGTGGTAGTACTAGTAATGGGCTAGATATCGGAGACAACGGCGATGCAGGCAATGACCATGAACTAGTCAGGGATAGGGACAGCCCCGCACAACACGGGAGCGCTCCTATGGTCAACCGGTGTAGGCGTATCCATGGTAACAGTAGTAGCTCAGCGTATGCGGGTGCGAGGGCGATGGATGCCCTGGCTGTGAGTCTGAACGGGTGGTTCCTCACGCTACATGCCACATGCTGTCTGTCGCGGGCGCTGAATGTACACGATGCCACGCTGGCAGCTGCGTATTGCCCCCCTCTTACACACTTGCATTCAGACCATACGCATGTGTTAGGAAGTGGGATTGCAACCGATACACACCCAGCTGTAGGCGGAGATGCCGGTGATACGCTGGACGCATTGCCCAGACGTATATCTATACCCATCCCCGCTGCACGGCTTAAACAATACCGCAGTCGGCACGCAGACACAGCGCGTGGTGAAGGTTTAGCCGCGGCCCAGGCACAACCGATACAGTCAGCGCAACTACACACACGTGTACACACGGTCCAGACGACTGGAGTACACACGCATATACAAATGGGTGGAGATGGTGCGAAGGGACATGCACATACGGGTGATATGGAGAACACGGTCAGAGACATGACAGTCAACATGGTAAGCATAACAACTGCCGAGACATCGCCGGTAGTTGCTATGGCAATCAATGCGGATGCACACGGGACCGTATCGTCGCTACCAGTTCAGATAGGACGTAGTGAATCGGAACCTACTGAAGCAGCCTGTGACTCGAACACCATCCTAATTAAGACGGAGAGTATACCAGCAAATGGCCAGATGCTGGCAGAACTAACTGTTAACCCTATACTAACAGCGACTGACAGTACAGGCGGTGGACCATTATACGCAGAGGCTACCATAGACCCAAACACCGCCGAAGCTGAGTTGGATAATATACCTATTGACAGGGCAATACCCACAGAACCAGCCTTGAGATTGAAAGTGGGCAAGATGGTCGGTTCACCCATTGAGGTAATGATACCTACTGAGCGAGCCCTGGACTCCACAGCAGGCAATACGGATAGTACACTTATTGACGAGGTAGTGCCCGCTCAACACGTCTCGGGCTCAACAGCAGCCACTACAGAGACTACGTTAATCGATGGGCAGATCCCCACAGAACTAGAACAAGGCTTGGAATCGGTAGCAGCTGACACGAGCAGTACACGCGTTGGGGAGACCCTTCCCACAGAAAAATTACTGGACTCAACAACAGCCAAGGCAGCTAGTGTATCTTTTGACAGGACGATACCCACAGAACAAGTACAAGCGTTAGAACCGGTAGCAAATGATGCGAATAGCACATCCGCTGAGGAAATCATTCCCACAGAAGAAGTACTGAATTCAATGGCAGCTAAAACAGTTAGTATATCTATGGACGGGAAGGTGGTCACCGAAGGGGCCAAGAATAGTACAGCTACTGATGCTAATACCAGTGTTCGACGTATTGCACTGGGAGTTATGACCGAGCCCTGGTATACCGGTCCTTCGATTGCTAGGACACACAATGCTGGTACTGGTGACAGCCTTCCGAACATCCACGCCCACGAGAAGATGGCTCTGGTCAATATCACGAACAGCATGACTCACTCCGGCAGTAGCACGGACAAACAAGCCGAGCACACAGACGATGAGGCGGTTGTTAGCACGGCATATACACCTACCTACACACACAAACACACACACGACAATGCCATGGATGGTATCGCTAAAACCGATAGTATGGGTGAGCCTTCTGGTGCGATGGATCGACAACAGGTGCATCAGCAACGGTTCGACTATGTGCAGTCGCTGAGACAGATGCTGCACTTGGCCAATACCAAGGCCCAGAGAGACAGTGAGAAAGGCCCCCTATTGGCCGCAGAGACCAAAGCGGCGTCCAAGGATAAGGAGAAACGCAGCAGCTCAGCGCGTTTAAAGGATACTGCTGGTATGTATGTGAGCTTTTGTTCCTGTTGTGTGTATGTGTGGCAGAGTAGTTAGTAGATGGTAATAGTTGCCATGTATTAGTCCGAAGTGCTTGATCCATTGCGTCTCGTTGAAGGTATTGCAGGTATGCATGTGAACTTTGTTTGTTTATTGTGTGTGTGACAGGGTAGTTAGTACATAAAAGAGCTGCCTCGTTATAGTCCGGAGTTTTTGTCTCTTATGGAAGGTATCACTGGTATGACTTACCTACTTGAATCAAATGTAGTTTATCAAGATACTGGCACACCAAACATACAAATGAATCTAGTAAGGCTTGCTTGAAACAAGTATATTTACATCCTACTGATATACCATGTATACGGCTAAATCTAGTAATTTTACTTACTCGAAGCAATTGATTTTACGTTCAGACAATGATGAGGGTCTTGCTATACTCGAGCTGACTCTGGGCAAACTGCGAGACGACTATGCTGTCAAGAAATCAGTCAGCCATGCCGTTAAATCAGCGTTCAACACGTACACAACCTATCTTGCCAAGAGCCTTGCACCAAAACAGGTAGATATATATATATATGTGTGTGTGTGTGTGTGTGTGTGCGTGCGTGTGTGTGTGTGTGTGTGTTTGTGCGTGTGTGTGTGTGTGCGAGTGTGTGTTTGTGTCTGTGTGTTTGTGTCTGTGTGTGTGTGTATGTGTGTGTATGTGTGTGTGTATGTATTCTCACATGTATTCGCTTTCCTTGTCGTTCTAGACACTGACACCCCATATTGTGGCGCAAGTTGAAAGCAAGTATCAAACTCAACTCATGTAATCTGACCTTGCTGATTAGGTTATTGACACTACAGATTTAGTCGCATGCTAGCCCCCCATTTTATACTCATAGGTATTATACATTTTCTTCGTTGTTTGGAATATTGACACTATAAGATTTTGACGCATGCTAGCATCTCAGTATGTACTCGTAGATATTATATATTTTCTTTGTTATTTGGGGTTTAGACACAGATTTAGGCGCGTGCTAGTACCTCATTTTATACTCATAGATACTCTGTATTTTCTATGTTGTTTGGGGTTTCGACTACAGATTTAGGCGCATGCTAGTACATCATTTTATACTCATAGATATTCTGTATTTTCTTTGTTGTTTGGGATATGGACACTACAGATCAAGGCGCGAGTCAAAAGCGTAGTCAAGCGAAGGTTGATACAGACACACGACTCAATGAATACCAAAGTTTCGGAGATGTTCAAAACCACTGGAGTGGACGCAGAGGTCAATGGGATCGCTTTCCGCAGCCAACAGATAAGAGTGTACGTAGTATCTATTGATACGATATGAAGATAAGCAGTTGTATGCAATTTTAGTATTGTGTCCGTGTGTGTGTGTGTTTAAAAGCCTGCGTGTACATAATCTTATATAACCTTGTGCCTGTATGTTTCAAATGTTTAGATGCTTTTGTATATATACACTGCTGGTAGAATATATATACTATATTACAATATGCTATCGGTTTGGTTCGAGGCGCTGCTAGAGATACGTACCAACTCATTAACTGATATATTTACCATCACCACGGCTCCTCACCACAGATGTCAAGTCCAAGTGGCGATCCGATTTCAGCTGAGTTTTATGGAACAGCCCAAAAAAGACGATCCAAAATCCAAGCGAATTCGAGAAACTCTCAAATACATTCAGACTATATCGCTGCTGACCGGCGGTGGAGAACCGTTCAACGACTATATCCTGAATGATCTGACTAAAACTCATGCGGAGACGTTCCCACTCACGACCGGTATGGTTTGTTCGGGGTACTTGCAAGTGGGGTGGTATTGTGTATAGCAGTGGGTATTACGTAAGACGAGCCTTATTTTTCACGTAATTGTAGGTGGTAATGGGTACGGATGTGGGTGATATGAGTAGGTAGATGTTCTGCTCTCTGTTACGCTTTGGCTTGGATTCAAATTTCGGTATATCAAGATGTCGTCCCAACTAAAAGCTTCCGATCTCCTCTTACACCTTCAGCTTATTTGAATAGTGAACTCGATCTGGAAGACATGGAAACCACAGCCAATGAAATCAGGTCTGGGTTGCCTAGGAACGCTACCGCCGGTACCTCGACCAATAACCTCGTGCACACAGCGGTCAGTCATGTGAGTTCCGGCACAGAGGATCTATTTTCAGGCCGAGACAATCTATTTATAGCCAGAGAGAATACCCTCCCTCATGCTAGTACAGATGCTACCACGGGGGGCGTTGGTGAGTCGGGCACACGCTTGGTCAGCAACTGTAGTTTTGGAATCGGGAACTCAAATGCCGATAATTTTGACATCGGTAACCCCAATCAGGCGGATATCAATAGTAAAATGGCCATGAGACGCACTCTTACGAACAACAGCAGCCGTCGTACCGTCGTGATGGTAAGGAACCGCATGTTCGCCCCGTGAACCTTATTTATGGAATTGGAAATCCAAATCCTGAGATTTGGAATAGTGGATTTGAAAATCCAGCGATTAAGGATGGTAAAACTATGACTTAAACACCTGCATCTCGTATGATACCTACCCTCAGTACCCCTTACGCCTACCTATACGACGTATGTTATAGTCTGAAGGACTCTGAATTGATCGTGGTCTTCCACAAATCTCTACAATGCTCTATATAACTTAACCTTCGCAATACTTCATACTTACCTACATGACCGGCAATATATACCTACAGAATCACAGGAACAGTCTGCGCTCAACCGACAGCCAATCAAATCTCGCGCTGTATCAGCCGAACACCAGTGAACGCAGAGCAAAACGCCTTAGTCAACGCCCTGCTGTGGTGAGTAGGCACTCCAACAACCAGAATCAGTCGTTGCTTAGTATCGGGCAATCGTTCCTAAGCAACACGCGTTGGGAACAGGGGACTCCTTGTGATGGTGGAGAGTCGAGCGCCACGGATGATCTCCAATTGCACTCGTAAGTATATATCTATTCAAATTTATATTTATAAATACGTATCTGCAGTTGCATATTTATGTTTGTGTTTGTTTTTTTTGTGTTCAAACAAATTTATAAATAAACCGTAGCGGTCCGTTTACTGCTACCAGATGGTATATCACCATGCCTGTTTATATACCCAATGTTTTAGGTATGTTTTGGGTGAGACCCTTTTTGGGCTAAGTTGGTGCTCACATGTCGTTGGTACCTATCGCCGTCATCTATGCAGCTGTCTATCTTTACCCTCGCAAGCGTTTGCCCTAAAGTTTTGCTCTATTGTGTAATGACTTGGAGTTGCTGACACGAAGTCTAATGGTGTGCCATATCAACTGTTCTCCAACAAGCTTTGAAGAATGGTATAGACTGTTTTACTATAGAAGATACGTATGCACATATTCTGATGTATGTCTATCGCTGACCATATACAGGAAAGAGAAAGTCAACTCTCGCCCTGGCAGCCCAACGAAGAATCTGTCAGCGATTTTTGGTATGTGTGATTCCTATAACATGCATGTAAACATACCGATATGTACATCTCACGCTAGAAACCGCCATATATATATATATATATATATATATATATATGTGTGTGTGTGTGTGTGGTGGTGGGTGG